TTTATATAGTATATAATATGTATATGATGCACTTCTAATCTCATATAATTTTTTTTATCACTCTTTAAAATTTTTGGGATTTTTTTCTTTTTTATATATCAGTTTTATATGATAATATTCAACAATTAATATTAATATAAATATATAAAAATAAAAATTATTAAAATAATTTATTATTAATATTAAAAATAATAATAGTATTAATATTATTATTGTATGTATTCAAATATTATATAGTATACTTATATTATATGTATATATGTACAAAGGTCTCCCAAAAAAACTGTTCAAATGATGGTTAATAATAATAATGACAACAAATTATGTGTAGCATAAAGTGCTAAGGAATGAATGCTTTCGGTATAAAAATGAAAACATTATTAAACATACTCGTCCAGTAACGCATTATAACATTATTACATTATTATATTCATATGATATAAGTATAACAGAATATTAATGAAAGATTTTTTCTCCTGAGTATGGTAATCTGTTTTAAAAGTTTTCGTTTAAAAATGTATTTACAACCAGTGAACGCAATAGAACCAATGGTGCAATCGTTATAGCACTGTTCCTTTAACTAAAGAGTCTCCGGTTAAAAGAAAAACCGACTATAAAAATTATATTCAATATTAAATATAGATTTATACACCTTACATATAAAAGTAAAAAATTACTATTAACTAATTACCATATTTCAATAATATTAAATATTAAAAAATACCACCAAAATAAAATAGTAAATATCAATTACTTTAAATATTTAATATAAAATTACGGTAGGCTGATCACCCACCCAGTAAACTCAATGACGTAAGAAATTGGTTCGTGATATCTACAATACCGTGCATCAGCCCTATGCTCCACCGCAGAGCGAATTAGGAATAAAAAAAAAAACGAAAAAATTAATATTTTTGGTTAAAAGATTTAGCTAGTATTTATTGTGAGGCACGAAATTTTAATTCAATTTTAACATTAAAAATGTTACATTAAAAGGATTTACTGTAAATTTCATTAATTTTCAATTTAACAGTTGATGTAAATTGTAATATAATAACAATTATAATTGTATATAAAAATTACTATTGAAATTTTAGAATTTTCAGCAATAATTTAATAATAGAATTTCTATACTATTTTTTAAAATCTTTTAATTTATAAATTAAACAGCATAATAAAAATTTTAAAAAGTAATTTGGATATAAAATTAGTTTTATTCTTACGGTCCACAAATTTAAGCACTATAGCGCTCATTTTATTACAATATAATTTTAATAAAATTACTTATTGAGATATTCTGAGTAAATTACAAAATTTATTCTTTTAAACTCAATACCAGAAGTTTTTAATTTCTTTTTAAGAATAACCACTTAAATAATTGTTTATTAGGAAGCTGCATTTCATTATTATCAACCATTAATAGTTTTTTAAAGAGAGATACCTTGCATATATTATTACCTTGCATTTATATTATATTATGAATTGGTAATACTATACGAATATAATGTAATATACAATTTATTATATTTTTCTTATAAATTTTAATCATATACAAAATCTACATATTAAATCAAAAAAAAAAAAATAAGAAGAAAATTTAATTATATTTATTTTAGAATAATATTTTCATAAGTATTAAGTATTCAGTTTAGATCTTAATGTTTTATGCTATTATTTATAAAGTATGTATGTTCAAATAGTTATTTTACAATTTTTCTGTGTGATTTTTAATATCGATTCCTGAAAATGGAAAAAGTTGTAATTGTTTTATTCTGAATTTTTGTATAATTTGTATTAATTTTGATAAATAAGTTTAATAATGTTATTGAATTTTTCCAAATATATATTAATATTTGTGTAAGTATTTCATAATAATTATATAGCATAATATTATGTTTAATATGTAAAAGAGAAGTAATTAAGCAGGGATTTTTTTTTTTTTAAATAATTGCATAGTAAAAAAATTGGGAATGTTTAAACTACTGCGCATAGGAAAATTCAATATACTCATGTTTTTTTTTTTAATGCAAAATTTTGCCATTCAACTTGCTTTGCTCAATCAAAAAATTCAAAAAAAAAAAAAAGGAAAATATGGTTGCTTTTTATTAAAAATAGAGAGGGAAAAAATAAGGCAATTAGCGGGGATTAATCGCGAAAATTGCATATTTCAAGGCGTTGCTTGTTTTTTGATATTTCTATTTCCTTATTGCAAAAATTAAGCGAGCCTTCTTTAATTACAAAAAAATAAATAAAAATAATAATAATAATAATAACGTAAATTATACTATAAAACAGAACAAAAATGAATAAAAACAAAAAGAAAGAAAATACAATTAAAACAAAAATGAAAAGCTTAAATAATTTTGCTGCTTTTTATTTTTAAATATTTGCTAATTATCACATAATATGAATAATGATTAAATAAATTTTATGTTATTTTTCATTAAGAAAATTTTGTCTGCGTCCTCTTCTAATTGTAAAAATGTTATTGCATTTATATGAGATGTAATTGCAGTTGTGGTTATTAATTATTTTCAATTAATAATTGTGTTTTTTAACATTTCATATCAAATTGTATATTATAAGCATTTTTCAAACAAATAAATGAATATTAATGATAATATTAGCAATAATTATTGTAGTAATTATGATTTTACAATAATTCCTAATAAAATCCTTTCCTAAAATGTTTAGTAATTTCAATTTAATGGCTTGCTATAAGTTGGTTCAGCTAAAATATTAAAAAATATAATGTCACAAAATAATAATCAACATAATTTATATTATTCTCAGATGGTCACATTTGTATTTCAACAAACTTTTATTTAGTTATTAATAATTTTGTTTCGAATTTCCATATAACAATAGCATTTGATTTAGTAATATAGTAATAAGATACATATAAATGTTAACAGTAATATTCTAACAATCCAGATGAATTTAAATTAATTCTGTCAACAATAATGCGTTAAACTACAAAATATGGGGAAAAAACTCCTACTGTATTCGAAATTTTACGATAAAACATGAAATTTTATACCTGATTTACTGAAGAATTCAGATTAACATAAACATATTGCAAGTCAATATCGAATAAGAATAATTTGAGTAACTTTTAAAAAAAAAAAAAAAACCAAGTACATATTTCGAAGGAATCTAAAATATGATTGTATTGGCAAATCCAATATATACGAGAATATTATTTCAATATATAGAATATAGTTAACAATAATTAATAAATAAAATCATCATAATTGCTGTTATGACTAACTTTATAAGACACTCATAATTTTTTCAGTGTTTGTCAAAGATTTTCTTATTATTTAATATTCGTTTCATTATTATTACAAATAAAATTAAAATTTGATAAGACCTGAACAAAGTTGATAAAAAAAATGTTTTCAAAGATTTTATTAAATATTTTATGTATTTTTCTTTTTTTTTTTGGAAAAATGTGATATTATGTAAGTAAGAAGGATGTATAAAACAATGATAAAAATAGCATTTTTTTTTTAATATGATTTGAAAAAAAGTATAGCTATTTTTTGAAAATATTTATAAATGAAATTCGATTCCTAAATTTGAAATTATTTTCGAAAACAAAAATTTAAAAATTAAATATTTAAAAAAGCTCTTATTGAAAAAAGCGTATAAATGTGAAAATTTTAAAATTTGAAAAATATAAAGGAAATACAAGACTCTCTAAATTAAATTTATTTTTGAAATTGAAAATTTTTATTTTAATTATTTTTTTATAAATTTTACAAAATTTTAGAAAAAAAAAATTAGATAAGCTTTTTAGTATAGCAAAAATAAAGTTGTTAATTAATTTATTAAATATTAAGATTAGTAGATAAATTTTATGTATATATATATTTATATTTTTTAAATTTGTTTTTTTTCAATTTTAATTTTTTTTGAAAATTTCAATCAGTTATTAATGATTTTGATTAAATTGAAAATTTCATTCTAGAAAATTTTGTTAAAATTTCCGTTTTAAATAGTATACAGGGTGTTTCACATACAGTTGACAAATAATTTTAGAGACAATTCTTTGATCAATTTCCAGGAAAAAAATTGTAGGGTATCTTTTTTCAACTGATTGTTTGCTCGAAAACTAATATATCCGCTCTCACATACATTTTTTGCTGGAAATTAATCAAAGAATCTTTCCTGAAATTATTTGCCATCTTTTGCGACCCAGTTTATAAAAAAAACCAAAAATAATAATTTTCTGTACAAAACTTTAAATTCATTGTTATTCTTTACTGAGAAATTTAAAAAAAATTTTTAAATATTAGATAAATTGGAATCGAAAAACAAAGAAAAAAACTAATAATTAATAATTAAATAAAATTTATATATAATTTAATTTTTATATCACATATTTACAAAAATTTGACATTATATCTATTATTTTGATCCCGATCATAATTATATCAAAAAAAAAAAAATTTAGTAAATTAGGGAAAAAAAATGTTTTAGTTTTGCTTGAAATTTTTGAAAAAATTCTTTATTAATTCTTCGATGAACATTATCTCTGTGTACTTATGATAAGACTCTATTCAAAAAAAATTCATTTATAAAAATATTGGTATATACAATCAGTATGTACACGCATTTATATAACATATATTTATATTATAATTATTTATTTTTTAGCATTAGTGGATTATATACAAAATCATTTTTCGTTATTTATAAGAGTTAAAAGAAAGTAAAAAGCAATATAATGCGTCAGTTTAATTATTATAAAGTTATACATATACAAGTATAAGAGTTTTCCTTTCATTTTAAAGATAATTCAATAATTTAATTTATTTTAGAACAAAAAAAAAACTATTTTTATATAATAAATAATTTTATATAGATATTTTTATATTATTATTTTTTTTTTTTGTTAATTTTAATTAAATGTATAATTTTTATTAATGCAACTTATATGATATTAATAATATTAATAATTTATATATAGAAAATTTGAAACAATTTAAGCATACCTGATTTTGGACTAACTAAATCTTTGGCGCCAGTCTTATTCGCATTCATTCTACGTGGACCCGTTCCACCGGAACCAGGTACTGGACCAGATCCAGGCGTACCACATGCACTTTGTACACCAGATTGCCCTATATACGTAATAACAAAATATAGAATGAAAAAAAAAAAAAAAAAAATAGAAGAGAGATATGCGATTTGATTTTTTTGCGTTTTGTTAATTTGATTTTTTTTTTTTTTTTTTTATGTTAACCATTAATAATAATATAGAGGTATAAAATTTAAAAAATTTTCTTTATTGACTATATTGAAGATTAAAATTTTTTTTGTAGAAATGTGGAGAGGAAGGAAAATCAAAATAAAAGAAGTAAATTTGATAAAGAAAGGAAGAAAAAATATTTTTACATGCAATTTTAAAAGAAACAAAGGACAGGGTCTAGTTTTTTGATCATATAAAATAAAATAAATTTTTTTTTTGGATTATTTATTTACATTTTTTATAAGAAATTATTTATTTAATTAATTTGCACATCATAAGAAGATAAAAACTTCTTAAGAACAAAATATTTTATTGTTTAAAATTAAAGGTTGGCCATAAATACATGTGGTTTTAATAAAATCGCTGGAATTTTGGTGAGAAAGACTATTGGGTTTAACTTTATTCGATTAATTAATTAAAAAAAAATTATTATTTCAAATTAAAATATAATTAATTAAATTGTATTTGATTAACCCCTTGCATTGTTCTAATTTCAAATAAAGAAAGCGAGACGAAAATAACCAAACTATACAATTTTTTTATTCTTTTGATATTTTATAGTTCTAATAAAACTAATAAATTGTAATTTTCCATGTTAATTAGTTTTATTTTAAATTTTAATTTTTTACTAATGTTAAATCAAAAACACGATTAATATTTGAATGAAATTCATACTTTTATATTTGAAAAAATGCAAAAATTTCGTAGAAATTATTAAATTTTTTTGTCAATATGATTTTCTTACAGTCAATAATAATATTTTTTTTAATATGTTAATTTTAGTTACATAAATTATTATTTGTCAATTTACTATAATATTGTAGCTTACAAGTAGAAGAATACTTATTTTGAGAATATTGAACTGAATGAAATACAATGAATTCTTGTACAATTAAAGTTTTAGATTTAAATTCGTCCTAAATTTCAAAATTGTTCTAAAATTCTTTAAAATCGATTATGTAAAATTTCATCATAGTAATATGTATAATATAAAAATGTATAATAAATTTTCAGAAAAATTCACATGAATGATGGTGGTTATAAGGGATTTTTAATTTTCGCCGTAAAGTATGCAATTTTTTTAGAAATAGACAATTTATTAAAAAAAATTTTAACTGATTAAATTTGAAGTGATACGTAGCTTTTTTTAAAATAATATTAATATTATATAATATTAAATACAATAATAAATTATTTTTTAAAAAATTCATTAAAATTGATTACTTTAAATTAGCAAAAAAAAAGCAATCAATTTTACGAAAACTTCGCTTTTTTTTTTTAAATATTCAAAATTTGCGTTTGATGTTATTTTGCCGTATGTCATTTAGTTAAAAATTTTCAGCATCAATTTTTATTTTCTCATTTTTCTATTTTTTTCTTTTGTTCAATTAAATTTTTGTGCAATTTCAACATGTTTGACGATTATAAATTATTCTTGTTTTCCATGCCATTCATATATTTTATTGTAGTACACAATATATACATCATTATATTTATACATTAATTTAATATCTTTCATAAAATATTTAAAAACTTGATAACTTGACCTAAATAATAAATATGTGTTTTGTAGCTGCAACACTATTTGTAAAAATTTCTATATCCTTTTTCATATCACTATTTTATAATTTTTAAATAATAATGAAACTAAAATCTAAATGAATTTCTTTTATCCCTCCTCCTAAATTTTTTCTCTTTTAACTACATATATAATGTACATACATTGTAGTTCTTGATATTTAATTAATGACTTCAGCTATTAATCATAATTAGACTACAATATTAAACTACATTCTCTTGTTTTTCTCTTGTTATCAAGCCAACAACTACAAGCTCAAATAAAATAAAAAGTAGTAAAATAAAAAAAACAACTTCTGTTGAAAATGTTAAGCAAATATGAGCAATAATGTTTACAATAACAAATAACAATTGCGCAAAAAAAAAGAATTTATGATGGTATATGTGTATATAATGATATACTCTTTTCAATATATTTAGCTTGTTACAGTGAACATAGACAACAAAATAAAAATAAAATGAAAAAATATTTGAAATTATAGTTATATTTTATTTTTGCATCTTAACTTTCATTCCCACTTTTAATAAAAGTTATTGACTTCAGTGTATTTTCTTTGTTTTTTGTTTTTTCTTTAAATGAAGCTATCATTTATTTTTTGAAAAATATTTCATTTAAGCTGTGCATAATATTTCGCATTTAACATCATAGTACACATATGTGTATGTAAACGACATGTAATGTTTATTTCATTCTAAAAACAAAATTCAACAACATTTTTTGTGTATGCATAGTGAATTTTTTGGTTTTTCTATTATATTTTACCATATATGAGAATATTTAATTTTTCGCATATTGTGTTATAATATTTAAATGTAGTTATGTATATATAATTCTGACTTCTCATAGTTATTATATAAGCATTTAAATTATATTAACGCAACTACAAATTGTCAGTTTTTGTAGTTGATTTTACATAGAAACCTCTAAAAAAAGGATAGTAGTTGTCTCATATATTTTATTGTTTAAGAAAAATTTATAATTTTAATTAAACTTTTTTTTTTTGTTGAATAAAAGGCAATTAATTTTATCCTTTTTAAACAATACATGTTCTTATATACCCAATATGAAATATTGTTATATAATTTTATATTCAACATTTAGTTAATAGTTATAATACATATTAGAAAGGCTATGAATATATTACAGAAATAGAGTATTCCAGTGTTAATAATGAAGTAAAATTTTACTTGATATTAATTATTTAAAAATAATAAAATTGAATATTAAATACGTCCACCGTTCTATCATAATACTGTTCAAAAACAAATAGGTCACAGGACGAAACTGTTATACAAATATAGTATAATTGAAATAATGTAAAATTATAGACAAAACAAATAATGTAGTGTAATGTGAACAGTTATACTGGGTATTCATAATAAGCATAAGAAATTTATTTTTAACAAAAATAAATTTTTTCTAATTTAACAAATTCAAAGTCTTCTAATAAATATATTGGACTTTATCAGCAATTAATTATTGTTAATTGAAAAATTTTAATTTGAATTCTTGATCCATATTATTAAACCATATAATTTTTAAAATTTTATGTATGGGAATCTATATCACCTTGTACTTATTATCCTTACGCTTTTAGAGAACTTGTAAAATGTTGTGTATAAACATTACTCATATTTTTACTCACACTGTGTTTATAACACATAATAATATTTACAAGTGAACCCAATTTTTTTATGCTTATGTATTTTCAACCTACGTTATTTTCAAACTATAAAGTTCATTTTACTGTTTATAGTTAAATAAAAAAACAAAAACAGAGGGAAAAGAAAAGAAAAACTTAAAATCAAACGGTTTCATGTATGTCCTAAAATCTGTTTTTTGTTTTTACTTTTTTTTTTTGCATAGTCATACTTTATTAAACAATATTAGGGAGTTCTAAGCGTTGACAAAGATTGATGACATTTTAACCGACTAAAATGAACACAAAAAGAAAAAAACAAATTTTATGAGAAAGAGGGGGCTAAGAAAAAACAAGCAGCAGTGTACATAATATAATATGAATTATGTACATTGAAATTGAAATAGTTTTATCCTTATTCTCAACAATATATAGCTTCCCTTTCAGTATAGTTTCTCATTCTTTTAGTTTTTATTACATTTTGTTTATTTTTTTTATTTTTATTATTTTGTGCTTTGTTTATTTTCCCTATGTTTTCACTTATTTTTCTCCCATTACCATGTTTGTTTACTTTTAGTGTTAATTACTTTTTAGTTTTAGTTTATTTATGCTTTTGTTTTTTTGTATTTTGATTTTGTTATTTTGTTCTACCCCATCATTTTTAAGCGGAGTCGACGTTCTCATGACGAGGTTCTGAATTGATTTTATTTACCATTCCTTTATTTTTATTTTTTTGTTTTTCAAATTCTCTCTTTATGAGAGCATACTTTTACATGTTAAATAAACGTTATATTAAAATACATATACGGTGGATGAAGAACAAGACAACAAAAAAAAAAGGGGGGAAAGAGTATAATAATAAAAGTTTATGTTTTTGAGAATTCTCACACTGTACTCCTCCTTTTTTCTTCACAGAATTTATTAATATATTTCATTTCTGTTCTTTTTTTTTTTTGGTTTTTATGTTTTTGTGAAAAACTGCGCCATGACAAGCAACAGTCACATCTTTTAATAATTTTTGTTTTTGTTTTTGGTTACGTTTGTTTTAGAGTTTTTGGTTTTCTCATTTTATAAACATACAATAACAAACATTTTCTTTTCGTCCTTGTACATTTTATATTTTATGTGTACATGTAAAAACATAAACAAAATGTACACATTTAAAATCATTTTTAATGACCCAGGACGATACTAATATACATAATTTCAAAACAAAGGGAAAGAAGTTGAAGAGCACAGCAAAAACAAAAAGAGAACAAGAAAGGAAATATATATTTGTGTACATATATATAAAAAAGGGAAGAAGTTTTGTAAAAATTGAAGTTATTAGTGGTAGAAAATGATTTTGTTTTTTTTTTTTTTTGGTAGTATGGTAGATAAAAATTTTGGGTACATGTACACTTGGCGAAACATAATTACATACATATATACTTTATGTATATATGTCATGTAAGTGTGTGAAATGTGTACATATATATATATAGGTTTATATGGTTAAAATATTCCGCAGTACACTTTAGTAATCATTACATAATGATGATTAAAATTAAAAGAGAATGTAATAAAAGTTTTATATGGACGTGTGCAGGAATATAATGAATGATTACTAAATTTTTATGAAATATCCTTTTCTTGTTTTCTCATTTTATTTATATTAAAATATAATATATTGTTACACGTATTGTGTGCGAATATAAATTTCACTTGATATATTGTATTATAAATATATTTTCAAGTTTAATATATTGGATGATATGCAAAAGGAAAAAAATCGAAGAAAGGATCATTTGCGAAGAAAAATGTATGAATAATTTTTTTTTCTCTGTGTAAAATATTAGAAGCCTTTTTCAATGTTCCTACGTAAATACCCTTATGAATTATATTATGAAATTTAAGTTTATATTTAAATATTGTTGTTACTTTTTTGACCTTCACCATAAAAAATAAGTTCGTTCTTCTCTTCATTTGTTAGTATTAAAGCATGTTTGCATAAAATATTGTTTTAGTTTCTGATAAGTGACTAATCTCGTTCTATTAACCCCAATGAATTTTATGATTATTTTATGAAATATTAAAATTTATTTCGTACCAGCAGAATTTATTTATGTTTTAAATTTCTTATACAAAATTTTAAATTTGAATAAAAGTAATTATTAAATTTTATTTCATTAATCTTAAATTACAAATGATTCTTTAACAAAATAATGTTGATGGAAGCTGTTTTTTTTTATGAATAATTTATAGTATTTTTTAAATAAATTCCTAGTATAATAAAAACAAATTTTATTTCTTGATAATTTATATCTGCATATAAAATAAAGGAAAAGCAAATATAAAAGAAATTTTATTACATACCTGGTAATCTTGGATGATGTGGTGGTCTAGCTGGTTCAACCGGTAATACACGTCGTCTTTTCTTTGGCAGTTTAGCACGTGCTTGTGTATGCGAATAATACATTGCAAAATTACTAACAATAACTGGTACTGGCAGTGCTATTGTTAATACACCAGCTAATGCACATAATGCACCAACAAACATACCAATATATGTTTTTGGTACCATATCACCATAACCAACTGTAGTCATTGTCACTAATGCCCACCATAAACCTAATGGTATACTATTAAAATCATTATGAGGATTTGTTTGTATGCGTTCAGCATAATAAACTAAGCTAGCAAATATAACAATTCCTAATACTAAAAAGAACACCAACAATGTCAGTTCTTTTGCTGATGCACGAAATGTTTGTATTAAGATTTTTAAACCGGACGAATGACGTGTCAATTTAAATAATCGCATTATACGTATAATAGAAAAGAATTCTAATATATCGGCATTTTCCAAATGTGATGCGAAACGTTGCAATACTAAATCAATGTAAAAACTAAGCGTTGCAATATAATCAATAATGTTAACGGATGACTTTATGAATTCACATTTATTTGGTGCTGAAATAAATCTAACCTATAAGAAAATTTTGAAAAAAAAAATAATTAGTAATCAAGTAAAATAATTTTTAATCTTCATTTTTGAATTTTTTCAATTTCAATAAAACTAAATAATTTAATATTTATTCGTTTTTGTTTTGTTTTTTTTTTTTTTCTTATTAATAAAAATGTAAGTAGTATAAGAGTTATAAAAAACATGTACTTACTAATATCTCAAAAGTAAACCAAGCATTACACACACATTCTATATAGAAAAAGGCTTCATGGGCATTCGTTTGTTCCTTATCTAATACCCATGCTGTACTACCATTAGCTGTTTTAACAGTTATATTTTTTACAACCGGAACTCTCATATCTGGATGAGTTTTAAGGCAAAATGACAATATTGAAACGCATATAAAAAACACTGATACTACTCCAATTATCTGTAAAAAAGAATTTTGAAAATTTTGGGTCGAAATTTTAATTGAGTTTTGTACAAAAAAAAAAAAGTTGATAGTAAAAATTTTGAATTTTTCGAACTATGTCCATTAAATTTTAATGTAATTTCAATTGCAATTAACAATATAGAAAATGAATTCAATGCAAAATAATTTTAAATTATTTCTTTTTTTTGAAAAATGAATTTACAATATAACAATATTGAAAACTTTAAAGACTTATCAAGAAAATATAACATATAAGTTTAATATCGGAACGATTTAATGTGAATGTTGACACAAAATGAAAACTTAACAATATGCATATGGCAACTCTGATTTTCAATACATAAAAATTAAATTCTACAATGGGAATGTTATTAAACAACAAAATAATTTACTATTATAGAAAATCAAAAATTTAATGTAATGAATGCTGTTATTAACTGATACAATTAATGATATAAGTTCAGAGTTGTTATCAAATTATTTTTTTCTTAAATAATTAATTAAAATTATCACAATTGAATGGAACGATTACAAATGGAACGATTAAAGATAGCAAACATTTTTTTTATTTCAACATCAATCCTTAATTTATTAATATAAAATTAATAAAATTAAACAACAATATTAAACAAAATATAAAAATATATGGATAATATTTGTATTTTTAAGCTATTGAATATTTTTCAAAGATGATATCGGAAAATTAGATATTTCGATTTGAAAATTATTAATGAAATTAATAAATTTTTAATATTTAGCACAATATAAGATTCGACGTGAAATAAATATCGAGACAATTACTAACTAAGCGACCTGATTCTCATGATTTGCTTGTTTCAAGAAGAATTTTTAGAAGCACCTTATATATGTATATTAAAATGTCGTAATTCTATAAAAATCTTATAATATTATTATTCTTAATTACTAACCTATAGTAGATACTACTTAATTTAACTCATATATATATATATATATATAGGTACTAATTTAATAAGACTTATAAGCTTATAAGAGTTAATATAAGATTATAATGTCTTATAATATAGTAGTCTTAAATTATAAGGTTAATGCAGCTTGTTTTTGAGACACTAATAAGTTACATAACGTCAATATTGGCATTTAAATTTACAAAGTCGAAATTATATTTTATTTTAAAGATTTTTAATATTAAAAGAAAAAGAATTTGTTTTTTAATATTAAAAAAAAAAAAAATTAATTTTTGAATTTTTATACTTCCTTATAATAAAATAAATTGAACGACGTTTTTCATCTAGCTATATATTATTATACTGAAAAAAAAGAAAATTTCTATTTTTCTCACAATTTCACATTATATTCCCAACGATTATTAATAAATTACAAGTAATAAATTTTTCATAAGCCGCTATTAGTGGTAGTACTGCTGCTTTTCCACAAATTTTCGTAATAACACAAAAACATAAAAATTTTAAAAGAGAATTGGAGAAGGTGATTTTTATTGTTCCCAAATATTTTTATTAATAACTTAAAAAGCATTATTTCAGCTTTGCGATCCTTTTAATGATGTTGATAAACAATCAACATGTTGTCATTCTCATGCAGCATTCATTAAACTTGATAATTACATCTTAATGATTCTTAGTAGGGCAAGTAATCATTCCTGAGTATACTAATTTTCATACTGAATATATTTCTTGAATACTAAAATATTTAATGTTAATTTACTTATATTTACAATTAAACTTGTTACACAACATATTTGGGTGTGTATTTGTCCATTTAATTTGTCCTGTTTTCTTATTTTCACAATATTATTTAAGTTTATTAGTTATCTTCATATTATTTATCTTCAAAACTGGAACTCTCCGATTTTATTTTATTTTTCCATTAATAAATTATATTTATTTATTTTATTCCATCACATAACTAATCAAATTTATTTTATAAACCGATTTTATGCGAACGAATAAAAAATATCTGGCAAATCAGTTTTTATATTTATAGACAATTCCATTATAACATACCCGAATTCTTCAAAAACAATCCGAACAATATGTCCTTCTTAAAAGTTAATTCTTTATGAATGATGGCACAATGCAATTGATCTGCATTTAAATCACATTTACATTTCAGCTGAAACAAAATTGTCGCCCCACATATTGAAAACTCAATTTTATTCTAAAATCTATCGATGAACACTTGTAATTTATTTTAAATCGTTGAGTAAATTTAATTACAATAATTTTTTTTTTTAAATTTATAATAAAAATTTTATTTTAAACCAATTTTATAGGGTTTTATTATAAAAATTTAAAATAATAAATACAAAAAAAAAAATAAAAAAGAAGGGAAGACGTAAAAGCATAATATTATGTGTTTTTTATTTTTATATAATTTTTATTCTACATAAAAAAATGGGTGATGGGTGGTGCTTCTTTTAAATATTCTATAATAAAAATATAAAAATTTTTATTTTATAGGTTCCATTAAATCAGATCTGAAATCAATTTAAAAAGTATCCAACATATTTATTATATATTGACATCCTTTTCAAAAAGGACCTAGTACACAATCCTTTTTTGTTTTTTAGTTTTCTCTCCTTTTTTTTAGTAAGCATTTTTAAAACTATTATTCTTTCAATTAAGAAAGCTAGAGGGAAAATAATAGATTGAAAAGAGAATTTAGAAAAAAAAAAAGAAAAATGTCGTTTAACTTGACATGCTGCACAATTTAAAATTGTTTAGGATACGCTGACAGCATTTAATGTAACAGTGTCCAGTAATGTCGAAAAATAATCAAAGTATTAGTACGTGTTTGTATAATATGTGCAATCAAAATGTATATTTCATAATGTCATTTGTGTGTTTTTACATTATTTTTATTTCTGCATACATATACCGATACAACTCTTGTATAAGGTGGTCCACTGTAATTAAAGTCTTAATGATATTTTCTTGACTGAAATATTGTATGAGTTTCGCATAAGAGTTAAGTCTTTGATAAAATTACCTATTTGTTACATTTATTACGGACTATATTTTTACATTAATTACAGGTTATATTTTTACAAATAAATACGATATGCTGTGAGACTAGGCCAATTTTTTAAAGTTATACGGCTGGAAGTTAAACGCATCTCGATTGCATTTTACTATTTAGTGTTAAAAATCATTTGTTAAAATTTTTAAGTTAACTGAAATCGTGTTTTTAAATTATAACTGGGACTGAGAAAGTTTAGTTACGATTTTCTATTGTCATATAAAGTTTTTATATACGTTCGTATTATAACCTTTCCCTTAGTGTTATTATTTCATTTTGATTATAGAAATTTCTGTACCGTTCCATTATAGATAGTCAAATATAAAAATAAAATTAGAGAAGAATGTAATCAAAGTGAAATCAAACCATTGTGAACCCCTTGGGTACCCGACATCTATTGAAATCATTCATACCGACCCCTAAGTGAAATGATTACAATAGTTATTTCTATTCTCAAGAAAAATATTTACCAAATTTAAAGGGGTGACGCAGTATTAGAATAAAACAGAATTATTTTAAATTGAAAAGCTCAATATTTCTTCAATGTTTTTAATTTTTTATTCTATTCGAAAATCCAACGTTATTAAGAACCGAAAAGCGAATCAATTGTAAAAATTTTCACAATATAAGTAACGTACGTTATAAATGTGCTATTTTCATTTAAACTATTGAAGGAATGGAGCTCACAACTAAGCACACAAAAAAAAAGAAGAACAGGAAAAAAATAACATAGAGTCCCATAACGTTGACTCTTTTTTTTCTTTTAAAATTATTTGATTTTTTTTAACTGTTTTTTATATAGATTTAACATTCAATTTCTAAAAGTTGATAATGCAGATTCATATTCATTTAGTTGATGATTCTGATGTAGTACGTGTGTCTATAAATAATAAGAAAGAAACTAACAACTCACAAAAGCTCGTAATTTTCGAAATTCGGTTTCTATAATATGTTGTTCGATTATATTAGTCCAAATATACACTCACACAATATATAAAATTTCAAACTCACACAAATTGAGGTCTAGAAGAAAAACTATATTAAAAATTTGAAAAAAAACGTAATTTAGGTAATGGTAAATTTTAAGAATTAGTAGAAGAAAGTCACTATTTTTCTGCGTTTGCAAAATTTGAAAAATGATTGTGATTCCGCTGCAGTAAATAGTTGAATCCACGGATAGGCGGACAGAGTGAAACCAATAAGCACGTTTTTATATATTTTTTTTTGGAAAAGTGCTGAAAAATATTATATGTCACCAATTACGATGAAAAACATTATATAAAGCAAAATTCAACGAATCAGTCATTTGATATTTAATAGTTAGTCCTTTATGTGAAGAAAATAATCCCGCTTTAACTGAATGATCTGAAAAAGCTATATGCGATACTTAATATTATACAATATATATATATAAATACATATATGTAAATACAGTGAGATGATATAAGTGATGCATTGCAAAATTGAAACACAATGTAAAACTATTGATTGATTCAGTGTTGTTTTATCCTTTTTTACTGCAACAATTTACGTTTTTAGTTTGTCTTTATAAGTTTTTTTCTTTCAATTAAATCGAAATAGTTTCTTTTATAGCTACTGCGTTTTCAATATAATTCTTGAATTTTAAATTTAAAAATCATTAAAATCCATCCATTGCTTAAAAATACTTAGTTTAAGGATTACCTACTTTTAATGAATTTCAATCAACTTTTACTAAATTTAAATAATTCATACTCAAAAAGGACTTGTGAAAACTTAAAAAAAAAAAAAACAAATTGATGATTAACAAGTTTTATATCAGGATGAATACAAAATTAAAATAAATAATTTTAACAAAACTTTGTTTAATTTATTTAAAAAACACAACTAAAATTGCTTTTCTATGACTAAACTTCTTACAAAAATTTAATTGTACTTAGTTCCATGATAGATTTTCTTTTTCGAATCTTGTTACTTTGAAATTCTCAATTGAACAACAATTTTTTGATTATAGAAATTATTTTAAAACTTTAATTTGAGTAATAGAGTGGAAAAAATAGAGTTGACTATGTCAACTATGTGATACCCATAAGAACTTGTCATTTTATGAGCGATTACATATGCCATATCTGACTATGGGAGAGACGATGACTTTAACTTATCATATTACCATATTAATTTATGCAAAATTTTAGTAATGTGACTTCAATATTTTCTAAGATATGACCAAACTAATATTGAAGTTGTATGGTAGCTAACAGAAGAAGCCAAGCAATTTCAATGACTTTTATCACGCACAATGGCACTATTAATATACATACGTTCGTACGTACGTTCGTATGGGTATAATGAGTAATTTATGCAAACGGTGAAGTTCTTCAATTATTTTTATGAGTTAAATCAGGGTTCGGCAACTTACGACTTGTTAAGTGATTAAGAAATTTTTTGTGACAAAATGTGGTTAGCGACAAAGATGCGATATAACAGTATTACAGAAACCTATTTTACTGAGCGGAAGCCTGATCCCCACTCTCCAACAGGAGTGTAGCAATCTTTTTAGTTTTCTAGTAGTCTAGGTTAATGTTGTATGCTCATTTGAGCGTTTTACGCATTGAACATGTTGAAATTCGAGCCATATGACGTTTCGTTCAATGGGTACATGTTGAAATGAGTAAAGTACATGTTATTTTTAATTTATTGGTAATACAATTCATATTTTATCGTCGGCATAATTAATAAAACACCAATGAAAACAAAAATTAAGTACGGAAACCAAGAATTTAATGAAAAATGAACTTAACATTATTGCTTTATTAATGATTCGGCAAAAACACTATTATATCATATTTGCAAAAAATTATAAGTGAATAGTTTGCTTCGCCACGAAATACAAAAATAAATATGATAAATACAACTTTCAATTCTGTTTAAGCTACATTTAAATGTTCCGACCCGTATATAAGAACTTTTATATTGAAAATATCCCGACGACCGAAAAATGTTACCGAACCCTGAGTTAAGTGATTAATAATTGTCAAGAATTTTAAGATCTGATAATATAAAAACTATCTTACGATCTAAATTTTAGTCACCCGAAGTTATTAAAGATACAATATATATTGAGAATTAAGTTAAAACACAGTACAAAATTGACTCTGAAATTATCTTTTTTTAATAACTATAATTCTTGTCTTAAACTGATAGAAGTAAAAAATTTATTTTCGCAATAATTGTTTACCTAAAATAACTTTTGACCAGAAAAAAATGACTTCAATTTTATTACTTCATGTAATATTATCAAGCTCTCATTTGATACCCTCTGCTCAAATAGATAAATTGAATTCTCTTCTAATAATCCAAAATCTTCGGAAATTACTTAAAATATACCCATCCTAATTTCCAATTTTGTTTTTTAATACATTAAATGCGATGTACCCTCAAAAATTTTGTGTTCTGTTATGTAGAATTAATGATTTTACATTCTTGAAATGAAAGGATGAATAGTCGGACTTGTATTTGTCTATTAGTGGCAGTGAAAACTTTATTTAATCATGGCTTTTGTTCATGCCTTATTAAAAAGAGTCTCGGTGTGCTTATAAGCGGGCTTGACATGAAATTTTTTATTTTTATCTTTCTTAAACTAATATCATAAAATGTGCTATCTTAGGGCTCAGATAGATATGCAATATTTAGTTTTGCAACTGTTTGATTACTTATTTGTATTCCATAGGTATTCAAATGCGCATACATGCCACTGTGTAATTGCATGCAATTAAGCAATCAAACAGTTTATTTTTACAATGACGCTTTAATTTAGTTGCTTAAATGCATAACCAATGATTTTACAATTAAACAATAATTTCAAAATTAAAAATTGAATGTCTGCCTGAGCCCTTACACTTATGAATATTAAAATAATGCTTAAAATTATTTTTCAAAAATAAAAAAAAAAATTATTGACTAGGTGAATTTAAAAATATACAAAACACAATAAAAGAAAAAAATATTCAATACAAAACATAATGGAGCATTCTTATAATTTTTTATCTAATTTTGTGCATTAATGAGTGCTTTTAAAAGGAACTATGAGGTTTAAGTAACAATAAACAAAAACAAAAATTGTTAAAAAAAAATTTTACCTTAGCTGCATTTGAACTATATGGCTCATCCATTAATGACCATATTTGTGGCTTCATTTGTTGCCACCATGATATTGTTCCCTTAAAATAATCTTCTTCGAAACCAAATTTTCTTGCTACTTCTTCTTCCGATGGTTTTTCAGTATCAAGATCTAATCTATCTAAAACTGCTAATGTTTCTTGTGTATCTCTATGCTGTAATAAAAAATATTTAGATATTAAGTAGATATTATTTTAAATACACACATATAGTAAAATTTAAATACATATTTATTTTAAAATGATATTTATATACATACATACATAATATGATAACAATTATAGAGAACTCTTTAAACAAAATGTTAGTCAACAAAACTTAAGTAAAAGTATTTTAAAAACGGCTATCAGTAAACCGCATCAGAATGTGATATTTTCATTGAAATAAAATGCCAAAAACGAATAGCACGTCGAAATTATTAACAGACAACTATTTATTTCAACTTTAGCAAAACATGATTCAAATCCCAGCAAGGATGACCAACACAAAAAAAAAATTATTAAACAAAAGTTTAAAAAATCAGTATAAAACAGAAGAACTAATAACAAAATATTATAAAGATTAAGAACAAACAACAATTAAAAAATCCTCTTTTTTGGGGATTGTAAAACAAGCGCAGTCGTACTTATAGTAGAGAATTTTTCACAATTACCGAAGTTAATTATTCAATTGTAACGAACATTTCATAGCAGTCAGGAAATGACAGTCATTTTGAACTGCAGCTCATTTTTAAAGAAAATGACGATTTTTATGTAGACCGCATAGCAGTGTCATACAATATTTTTGTTATTAATGAAATTTTATAATAAAAATTAATAAGTGAGGCCTACGATTAAAATTTGTTTTAATTTTTTTTTAAAAGTGGTTTGGAAAGTAGTATACGTTATAAGTACCCGCTTAATGCCTAATCAATACTGTGAGCTACAAAATTGTGACCTAAAATTGGGTAAATCAAATATTGGGCAAAAAATTTCGATATTCATATTTCCGAATTTCATATTTCGTTTTACATACTATTTTGCTGAAATTCTTAAAATTCGTTAATAAAATTCTGTTATTTAATCATTTTCTTATGTATGAATAATCTTACATCCTAATTCAATAATTTATTAGAAATGTGTGTAGAACGCATGAACAGTTTAAAATCCTTTTTCTAAATGCTGATTCAAAAAATATTTACAAATCAGTGTATAATAAAGTAAAGTAATTCTTATAACTATATCCAAGATTAGATATTTGAATTTTGTTCATGTTGCATTATTGTAAAAGCTTGGTGAATTTAATCCATAATACCATATACTGAATTATTTTTCATTTTTCTGTTTTTATTTTTTTTTCTCTTTATCCTTTCAGCCAACCATTCCTAATCATTTAAGTAAATATACAAGTACAACATAATAATAAGTATTCCCTTTTTATATATATTTTAAATATTCAATTCAATTCAATTTCACCTCAATTCATATGTATGCACATATATACATATATACAAATATGCATGTTATATATACTTCGGTAGTTATATTCAAGTCAATTCTCTATTAGAATTTTTTTGTTTTTTGATTATGATCACCATTACCATCACCATTTTCATTATAATCAATATCATCATCATAATCATCCAAGGGAAAAAGAAAAAAATAAAATAAATAAATAAAAAAGAAAAAGAGAGAGAGAAAAAAAAAACGCAAATTCAAAATGAAATTCAATAAAAAATCCTTTTTTATTACTTATTGAAAGTAAAGTAGACATTCAATAAGAAAAATATTATCCTTTACAAATATTGTTCTTATAATACATAATATATAATACCAATATACATATAAATGTATATAGGTAAGGTACATTATGAAAAAATATTTTCCACGTTTACACACATTTAAACACCCAAAATAAATACTAATTTACCTACAACCAATTTCAATCAATTCCACCACATTAGTGTGTAAAAGCTTTTATTTGTGGGAGAACAAAGTACAGAAAAAAAAATAAAAAGCAAAAATAAAGTAAAAATCAATTTTAAAAACTTATTCTTTCACCTTTCAAATTTTCATATTATTCAAATATTTATGCTCTTTCAATTCCAATAGTTATAATGTTATAACAGTATAAAAGTGGTAGTATTAATAGTACAAATAAATCGTTTTGTATACATGGTTTTATAGTATAACAGCATTTCGATATTATATAATCATTTTACTCAATAAATTCTACTAAAATTTATTAAGGAAATATTATAGAAATGAAATATTTTTCTTTAAATTTAATACAGTACTACGGTCAAAGTAAATTTTCGACACTTGAAAATAAAATGAGATAGCTATACATATAGCTCACAATATCTAAATTAAGAGATAATGTATATTATTATTCATCAAAGTCGGATTCCCATATTTTGAATGAAGTTACTATATCAATGTTCGCATATAACAGCGAATTATTTATATTTCAACAATTATGTTAAATTTTTAAAAGAGAAATCCTTATATGTTGTATGGCCTAAATTAAAATTACTTAAAATTTATTAAAAATAATAAGATTTTGAAGAAGCATTTAGCAACTTAATCTTGATTTCCTTTTAATTAATTTCCTTTCATTTTTGAAAAATTTCCCAAATATATGGAATTTGGAAGAAGTCCAGAATCATAGGGAGTAGTTGTGTCATAACAAATATTATTTTGAACAGTCATTTTATATAACAAATAACAAAATTTTTCAGATTTTTCCTAAATAAGTCGTTTGTACCTTTACGTTTCTCCCATAGTAGCTACTGTAAATATAACATTTGAAAGAAAATTACATTTTCCTTTATAAAAATTCAATTTTAAATTAGCAGTTCCAATTATATAAAAGAGCAGTCCCTACTACAAAATAGAAAGCGCTTTCGCTGATAAATGAACCAATCTTAATTCGGTAAAAAATTTTTAATGAAAGAATAAAATCTTTTCTTTTTATATTTGCAGCGAGGGTTCCCATAATTTTGAAAAAAAAAATAATTTTATGCAAAAATATGATACACAAAATAAAGGATTTGTGTGCCATAGCAGAAATGTAATAAAATTTCCTTTTAAAGTAAAGGGAGAAAAAAATTTTTGTTTTTAATCACTTAATTTTTTTTTTTCTGTTTCGCTTATCACATATACAAAATGATGTCTGCTTCAATGAAAATGTTAACACGAAAAAAATTTTTATTCTTTTTTCCTTTTTTTTTGAAAATTTTAGCTCAAAGACTTTTTCAATGCTCTTTGAATATGTGCATATATTGTTTGTTGTCCCCAGGTGCAAAATTCAAAAAATAAAATATTAAAGTGTTAAATTAATGAAAGCGTTAATAATGTACAAATTGGAAATTATACAAAATTTAAACGAAAAGAAATCTATATAGGAATTTTATTTTTATTAAATTGAAAATGCTCAGTCTTTTTTGTTTTATACTAAAAAAATATTGTATATAATAAATAATTTTTTAAATAGAAGCACTATGTAAAATTGTTACATTGTTAATTGAAATAATTAAGATAATTGGATAAAATAAGCGGTTTATGAAGTAGCACTTTTTCCTTGAACAAGTTACTACGCCTTCTTTTCAAATAACAATGCTTTACGGTATAACAAGATTTTATAACGGCAAAAAATGATTGCTGTTTTTGGACGAAAAGCAAAAAATTAGAAAAAAGCGTTAACATAGTTTTCGAATCAAAGAGTAAATTGCGCGAGGTAAGATAAGACAGAAGTTTTTCAAGTTACCTCCCGGCCCACCCATATGATTTTCTTCCAAATAATTCCAACTGACCCAAAACCAGACCAAGATGTATAAGATAGTGAAAATTCAAATTTTAAAAATTTCGGGATACGAAAACTTATGAAGAGTGGAAAAATATTTGGTTCTAATGAAATAGATTACTTTCTCGTATCCAAAAGTTGCTATAATTTCAGATTTCCACAGGTTTTTCAAAATAACAATTAATTTAGGCGACCTTTTTTTTAACTGTAATGTTCGATTATTGTTTTATGCAATAATAGCAACAATTCTTTATTTTTCTGCTTTCATTAAAAGTACAAAATTTATTGGTTTCAAATAAATTCTCAAAAAGTAATTTTGATCGAACTTCAAAAATTCCTCACAAAAATCCGTTTATATATATATAAAACTTTCAATTTTCAACTCTAGACTAACTCTAGACTAGCTAAATTCCTTAAAAATAACAATTAGAACACCAGAAGAGAAATTTCGTTGAATAAGTTCAATTTCTATTTCAATTATTATTAAATATAAATTATATTTAAAAAAAACTCTAAAATAGTCCGATATTCTATAATATGTGGGTAAAAAAAAATATCAGTAAAATAGTAACAGCCTTTAATTGCATATTTCACGGATTAATATATAAAGGAGAAGTAATTAAACGACTACATATGTAAAGCAAAGTGAGTCACAATATTTTATTATTCTAATTAATTATGCATTTTGTTCTCTTAATTTATAATGTGGGTTTGTTTTAAGATTAATTGCAAAAATTATAACAGATTCGAAAGTAGTCAACTGATAACATTTTCCAAAGTGTTTGTTACCTACTTCTAAATTGTTCATTGTATATGAAAATATCAAATAAATTTACCTACTTTTAAATAAACTTGTATTTTCATCAAATTATAATGTTATATTTTGAAAAAATTAAAGTATGCAATTTAAAAGCAAAAACAATTAGAACGCAATATGTGCAATGAGAAAAATAAAATCACTACTGTAATAATGCTCATTTTGAATAAAGTATATGCCCTAATTTCAATATAACTGTTGCATGCAACCTCAAAACTATTATAAATAATTAATGTGCATAAGATGGCACGTACTTGTACCCATAAAGAGTTCTTACAAACATAAATCAAATTAAAAGCAAATGGACATTTCAAGTTTTTCCTTTTTCTTTTTGCTGCCTTCTCGTAAAGTGCACGCAAACTAATTTTTTATGTTTTTTGTTTTACGTTAACCTATTATTAAATTAATAGCAACTGAATAATATGCACGTACATGAATTTTAAATTTGCATACATGCGCATGCAATGTTTACTATAACCACAGAGAAAATCATATCGTATAATGATGTAAAACGGAATGAACATTTAAAATAAAGGATTCATTTTATTTAATTGT